CTTGAAGGTGTGGGGAACCTTGAATGTCAGATGAAAAATCTATTCTGTATTTAAATTTGATAATGTGGGCAAAACATCCTCCATATGGCACTCAGTTAATGTGCGCTCTCTTCCCCTTCCTTCTCTTCTCTGTAGGCAGTAGGGAGCCTTTGGAAGTTTCTAAGTGGGGAAGAGAAAAGATCAGATTGATCAGGAGGTTCTTGAGCTTGTTGAGGTCAGAGGAGTGGAAGCCTAAGCAGGAAGGTGACAGCTGAAATAGACAGGGACAACTGACCTTGTGCAGGTAGGCTATAGTCATGGCATCGTTTGATGAGAGGGAGGATGAGGAATCCATGAGAACTTTCCGTTTTCAAGTCCCAGAAACTGCAAATATAGGCAGATTGTAAGAACAAGATGGTCTGAGTAGAGAGGAGGATAGTTTGGGATACAACAATGTTGACTTTCCAGCTGGATATCCAGGAAGAGAGACAAAGTGGCAGCTGTAGCTCGGGGAAAGAGGTTACAGAGAGTAGCCCTCAAGACTCATCCTCAGGAAGGTGAAATGGTGCTGGGGCTGTGAAGGGATGCTGCCAGCCTTGGAGTCCTCCCTAAGGATACAAGAGTGAACAGGACAAAGTCCTGGCCCTTAAAGAGGATTAGAGACAAACAGCCAAAGCAATTCCATGGGATAGTGCTACGGGAAAGGGAAGAATACACTATAGGGTGTCATAGAAGACATACCTCACTCAGATATTGGGATCACAGAGGCCTTTTTGGAGGAAGGAACATCTAAAGTGAGACATCAATGGTGAGTAGGAGTTAGCTAGATGAAGGATGGGCAGAGCAAGAATGTTGCAGCATAGGCACAATATGTGAAAAGAGAGGTAAAAGAACATTGGTGCATTTGGGGAACAAAAAATATGGGGAGCATCCTTATGAGGCTGGTATTGTACCCAGTTCAGATAAAGAAATGGAACACAAAGATTTAATAATTTACCCATGGTTTCTCAGTTGGCTTGACCTGGAATCCAGGTCTATTTTACCCTCAAGAGGCTGTTCTTTTTCCTCTAACCTGTCCCATGAATGTCTCTAATGCTGAGTGGGTCCCCAGTATTATTACACTGAAACTGCAGACAGACTGTTTCGAATTAGAAGACGACAAAGGAGTAAACCTAAGGAATGCCTACGTGTAAGGAGTAGGAGGAAGAAAAGTCCCAATTGAAGGTAGTAGAGAAAGAGCAATTCAAACGACCCAAAGAACGACCCAAAGAGCACAGTGTGATGGAAGCTGAAGAAAGTTGTAAGTGGAATGGTAGCACCTTTCAGATATGGAGAAAGTTGAAGAGTTCGTGGGTTCTGACTCTACTTGGCGATGATGATCTCAGTTAGCTAACGGGAAAGTCATTTCTAGGGTGGATCACAAAATGGTGGGAAAATGAGTGTTAAGGAAGTAGAGGAGTGCAGATCACTTTTTCAGACACATTAATTTCCGGATACAGAAAGTAGTAGGACGGGAAGCCAACTCCGAGATGGAGGCAGTATGCTCATTAGGAAGTGATCTCGGGATAGACACTAAGGGAAGGGAAGGAAGCAGTCTGCACAGGAGAAGTTGAGCTGTGACACAGGATGAAGGCTTAGCCAACCTTCAGCGCTGTCTCTGGTTGGGGTGAGAGGGATGAATCTTTACATTCCCACATAGATCAGTCATTTGATGTGGGCTGCCTGAGAAAGGGGCCTGACGTGAGGCCTGAGGCCAGTAGCATCCCCACTCCAAACAGGGCTAATAAGTCCTTCTTTCTCAAAGGGGATCCTTCCTGTGCATTCCAGCATTATCACAGGGAAGAATATTTTCAGGATAGATGAAGACTCAATTTTGGAAATAGATACATAAATATAAACAGATATAGCCTAGTTATTTGTCTTCATTGCCTGACAGCCATAACATTAAAAAATGGGATAATATATTTATGGAACACCTCCTATATATCTGGCCTTTGTTAGCACCTGGTGCACAAAGATAAAATAATCGCCCCTATTGAGAAGTTCACATTTTAGTGGGAGAAGAAAGCACACAAATATTAACCCACTAAGGGGCTGTGCTTATCTTATTTGTGTTGTATCTGTACCACCCATCCTCTGCCTGGTATGTAGTTATTTTCAATAAATATATTCAGAATGAGTTAGGGCTAGAGTAGAGTAAGGAGTGTTTGGGTAGCAGACAGAATGTAGAGCTAATGCTGCCTGGAGGAGTCAGGGAATGCTCCAACACGGGGATATTTTAGTGGAAGCTATAACAATAGCAGTAACTACAACAATAATGAGTTTTCCAGGTAAGGAAGGTATATGGCTGTTAGCATAACTGACGCCATCTTGGCCCTTACAGTTCCTCTTGTCCTTCCCCTGACCCAACCCAGGACTGTACTGTGCCGTGAATCACTTCTCTGTTACCAAGTGGTTTGTAGTTAATAGATATTGTTTAATAATCATTAGGACCAGGTGGCCCCGATGCTCTGTTGGTCCCCAAACAATGATGACAACCTTCGCTGATGTATTCCCATGAGACTTGTTACCCATTCATAAATCTTGGCTTAGGAATGCACATCCTGTTGCGAGCACCTACCCCCATACCCTAGGTTAACTGTAAAATTGTCCCAATGGCCCTTCGGTGGTGTGGAGCACAGTTGCGAATGCCTCTGGATCATTATTTGCCCAATCCCACCCTGTGAGTAAGTTACCATATAATAAACTGATCCATTGATTATATGGAGCTGCCTGCCTTGCTTTTCTGTCTCGAGGTGCTTTCTCAGTTTGATGGGCACTTTTTGTTGCCTGCATCCTTCAACAGAAAGGGAGGATTGGAAGGAGTTAATTTCAGACAGTTGTTTCAGGGAAAACAAAAGCATGAAAAAGAATACTTGGAGAATGGATGGGAGGTGACTATGGGAGGAAAAGTCTCCTATTTAAAGAACACACATGATGCAGATACATGTTAACATCTATTTAGAAATCAGTTGGCTATCGTGGTAATGTGGAATGTTCAGTGAATTTACGTTAATAGGATTTTATAAAAGAGATCATTTCCGAGCTAGAGATTTGAATGGAAGGGAATTGTTTTAGGTGTGTAAGATGGAGGCATTATGGTATGGTAGTTGGAGTGCTGGCTCTTGCATCTAACAAATTTGTGTTCAAAGCCTGGCTCTGTCACTAACTTGCTGTGTGTCTTTAGGCAAGTTACTTAACCTCCCTCAGACTCAGGTTCCTAATATGCAAAATAAAGATTACAGTTCTTGCCTCACAAATTTATTGCGAGGATTAATTCCTGTTTATAACGTGTTAAATATGGGGTTTGATACATAATAAGAATTCCATTAATGTTGTCAGTTACTATAAGTGAACACTGGGGACCTAGTAGGAA